TAGAGGCGGGGTGCAGACATTGCCTGGCTCCCTGTACCCTGTGAGGTCCCTGCTGAACGTGGTGCAAGGCTGTACTTTGCTTTCCCTGACCAAGTGTTGACTGTGTGGATCTGCCAAAGGGCGCCCCCAAAACCAAGGGCAAAACAAAATGAAAAAGAAAATAAAAAGATAAACCACACAAAAAACCCTCTACTAAGAAGTCTGTGGCTGCTGACTCTTGGGCGATCCCTGCAGCCCTGATAATAGCAGTTCTGCTCACACAGCCTGAAAGAGACTGATGAGCAGGGCCCTTGGTAGCTGCAGGAGTTAAAGGAGCAGCAGGAGGTCAGCGTGGTTGGGCCCTGCCCCATGCTGCTTGGCGCAGGCTCTCCTCCCACCTCACAGAGGAGGCAGTTCACATGCAGAAGACAAATGGCATAAAGGGCAGGCAATTAATTTTTTCAGCTGGAGGCTGAGATGGAATGTGGGTGCTTAGTGTCTGGCATGAGCCTCTAATTCCATTCTCTTCCATGAAATACCTTCACTTTTCAAGGAGTTGATGCCCTTCCAAAGTCCAGGGCTGACATTTTCTGCCTTTAGGACCAAAAGGTGAATTTAGTTGAGAAAATTATTTAGAATGAATATGAAGCCACACTCACTCTGCCTCCTACTCTTTTGGGTTTTTTTGTGGGGGGGGATTTGGTGCTAGGGATCAAACTCAGGACCTTGTGCTTGCCAGGCAAGTGGCAGAACCACGGAGCTAAATCCCCAGCCCTGCCTCCTACTCTTGCCACGACACCAGGGAGGAGAATGCTGTGCAGATGGGGGGCCAATTCTTCATGTTTCCTGGGGGAAGGAGAAAGTTGTCTCAGAGCACAGTTCCCATTGCATGACCTTATTTGGATCTAAATTTCAACAAACTAACTAAAAGGTCAATAGGAAAATTGGGGAAGTACATTGTCCAGATAACTGATAATGTTAAAGAATTTATTGAGTGAGATAATGCTTTGATCTGTTTTTGGCTTTTTGTTTCTTTGCAATCCTGGGGATCAAACCCAGGGGTGCTCTACCATTGAGCTACATCCCAGCCCTTTGTATTTTTTATTTAGAAATCATCTAAGTTGCCCAGAACTTACGTTTCTCCTGCCTTAGCCTCCCAAATAGCTGAGGATTACAGGCATGAGCCTCCATGCCTGGCTGTTTTGTCCTGTTTTGAAAAGTGATCTTGTCTTTTAGAAATTTACAGTGAAATACAAGTGGCATGATGATTAGGATGGTCAAGGGCAGAGGAAGAGGATAAGGGCAAAATTGTTGAAGCAGGGTAAAGGATACATTGAATTTGTGATTCTAGACTCCCTTCTTTTGTATATGTTTGCAATTTCCCATAATAAAATACTCTTGAAAAATACAAGAGTTGGGGTAAAAAATAGAAGAAGTTCCCCCCAAAAAGAAAGAAAAGACAAAGAAACAGAAAATAGGTGCAAAGGATAAGTTCATGGTTTCCGAAAAACAAGAAGAGACAAATAGAGGAGAGAAAATGATCAAAGAAATATGCAGCATGAGAATATTCCCAATGATGGCAGCCATTGGTTGCTGGATTGAGGGGCCAGCTCATAGCCGGCACCATGGACGGGAAGAGCACACACCAAGGTACAAGCCTGAGAAATTTCATCCCATGGAGGGACTGGGCCTCAAGTTCCACTTGACTAATGGAACTGGGAGCTGGGCAGCACTGGGCAGCTGGATTCCCTTCCCCTCCACTCACCCCTGTGCTTCCTCTTGTGCACATTCCAGAGGAGCTCCTGTCCCTGATAAACCAGCAGCCAGTCTGGCATCACATCCACCTTCTCCCATTCATTTTTTCCCTCTACATTCTATTAAAAAAAGAAAAAACTTCCAAGCATAAAGCAAAGTTAAAAGAATTTCACAGCAAGTACCTGCAAAATGTCTACTGCCTAGAGTTTATCATCGACATTGACATTTTTATTTATTTATTTTTATTTAGTTAGCTTTATGGAGGTTTTGCTTTTGTTTTTGTTTTTAGACAGTCTTGGTATATAGTTCAGGCTGGCTTTGAACTCACTATGAAGCCTAGGCTGGCCTTGAACTCTCAGCAATCCTCCTCCCTCAGCCTTCAAGTGCTGGGATCACAGATGTGCGCCACCACCCCCAGCTGACATTGGCACTTTTAGTAGCTTTAATGGAACTATAGTTAAATGCCATAAAATCTACCCATTTAAAGTCTTCTGGTTTGTTTTTGTTTTTTTTGGTACCAGGGATCGAACTCAGGTCTTTGTGCTTGGGAGGCAGGTGGCAGAACCACTGAGCTAAATCCCCGGCCTACTGGTTTTTAATATATTCAGAGAGGTGTGAAAAAGTCACCACAATCAATTTTAGGACATTTTCTTCACCCCCATAAGAAACTACATATCCTTTAGGAGTTGTTCCCATTCCTCCCATCCCTAAATAACCACTAATCTATATTCTGTCTCCATGGAATTGTCTATTTTGAACATTTTATATAAATGTAATCATGTAATATAGTCGCTGGTGACTGAGTTCTTTCACTTAACATACTGTTTACAAGTTTATTCATGTTGTAGCATGTATCAGTACTTCAGGCCCTTGTATGGCCAAAGAATATGCCATTGTTTACCATTAACATTTTGCTAGATTTACTTGATCACATAGCTGTCCATCCATTTAATCCATTTTATGTCTGTTTTATATTTTCAAGTCAGCTCAGTTCCTTTATCTTAGCATCTTTGGCCTGCACACCTCTCAAATACAGCTCAGACCCCATAACTACTCGAGGTGCAAAGGATGTAGGGAGCTGGTATCTTTAGCCATATGTGCTCTGTAGCAGATGGAGACAAAGAAAAGGGAGACTGGAACTAGGTTTTGCTACCTGGGAACATGGAATGCCTCAATCTCACCCACATCTCCCCTCCAGCCCCTGCTCCCATCATAGAAACCCATAGATCCTCTGTCCAGAAATGTAAATTCCTTTAAGTCCCTTACTCCATCTCTCGAAAATGCTCCTTATTTGGACAGCCTTCTAGGTGTGATAGATTCTTCCCCATGGTTCTGCTTCTTTGTGGCTCTTTAGTGAAATATCCTCAACACACACACACACACACACACACACACACACACACACATCTCCCTTGTTTCACACACCATTATGTCATTTATTCCGCTGTATTGAATTAACCTTTTGACCTGTCCGTCTCCACCAGTCTCTAAACCCTCAGGGGTTGGGCCAGGCCTTGTTGTGTCTTGGTATTCCCGGAACTCGTTGAGGGTATGGCTTAATAAATGTTTGCTGGGTAATGGACGGAAATACCCAGTCACTGTCTTTGCTGTTGTTTATTTAACGAACATTTTGTTGGGCATGCACCAAGTGAGGCCCTGCAGTAAGGGCCTGGGTCTGGATACAAAGATGAGTAACACTATCCTGGGCCTCACTGATGCCTATGGAACCCTTTTGTCTGGACAAATCCAAAACTGGATAAGATGCCAAGACAACAGATGTAAACTGTCCCAGGCAAACCAAAACATATGGTCACCTAAATTATATGCCAGCATGGATGAAAGCAACAGGACCACACTGACTCATGCCCAGACTGTTAGCCTCTAGTCCTTTCCAGAATTTTCTTGCTTGGGCCAATTGCTCTTTATTAATGCTTGAATCATTTACGCTTTTCATTGTTGTTATCCATGTAGAAATTATCCTTGAAATTTCATAATCCTAAAACATTACATATACTGGGTGCATATACAAAGATATACTATATACTTAAGAATTACACAAAAAGGGCTGGGGATTTAGCTCAGTGGGGCCACGCCTCCTATATTCGATCCTCGGTACCAAAAAAAAAAGCAATTACAGTTTTTGTGAAAACATACTATACACCAGAGGTGGTGGGGCACACTTATAATCCCAGCACTTGGGAGGCTGAGGCAGGAGGATCCCTGTGAGTTCAAGGCCAGGCTGCACTACATAGTGAGCTCAAGGACAGCCTAAACTAATACTGAGATCTCTTCCCAAAATACTATGATATAAATATACACTTTATAATTACATGGTATGTTATGATAGTCATTAAATATTTGTGGAATGAATGAATTCGTTAAGATCAGTGATGTTACAAAAAGATAAATATACCACATGATTCCACTTTCAGGAGGTACCTAGAGCAGTCAGATTCATAGAGACAGAAAATAGAAGGGTGGTTTTCAGAGTTGAGGAGAGGGGGAAAGTGTTCCAGAGATTGCTTGCACAACCATGTAAATGTACTCAATACTACTGAACTGTATATTTACAATAATTAAGATGGTAAATTTTATATCATGTGTATTTTATTGCAAAATATATAAATATTTTTAACCCATTCATCATTTGGCATATCTTCTCAATATAAGTGTGCCTACTCTAGGTGTAACCTTCCATGTTAAATCCTGGAATTTTTTCTATTAAAATGGCAGTGTTAATCATTCAGTGTGGAGACTGACAAGCAAAGAAGTGTAATGATAATGTCATGACACAGCAAACAGAATAAACATTACACACTAGATAATATTTTATGAACATTCGATATTAATAAGAAAGAACTCAACCTTCAAAAATCTTATATATTTTTTTCTATTATCTTTGAATTTTAAAAAAGGCAGAGCTTAGTAAATCTTAGAGAGAGCCACTTGAACTTCTTTGTTTGTTTGCCTTTTTGGTACCAGGGATCAAACTCGGGACCTCACGCTTTCCAGGCTGGTGCTGTGCCACTGAGCTGCATCCCTGGCCCTGAACTTTTCATCTTAAAGATGAGAGGATGAGAGGAGAGGAGAGGAAAGGAAAGGCCCAGATGGCCTCCTTTGGGCTGCGCCAGAGGCTGCTGGGAAGCCCAAATACATTAGAGTTCCCTTAACAAGGAAAGCAAAGTAGAATAAGTACCGGGTTGGCAATAAGCAGTATCTGCTAAATTCACCTTAGTGTTTTGTTTCGTTGTTTGTTGAGGGTACAGGCTGGAACCAATGGTTACATGGCTACTGAAATCCTCATAGAGAAGGTGAGCTATTCCTACCCTGTGGACTGGTTTGCGATGGGATGCAGCATTTATGAAATGGTAGTTGGACGGACACCATTCAAAGATTACAAGGAAAAGATCAGTAAAGAGGATCTAAAGCAAAGAACTCTGAAAGAGGAGGCCATGTTCCAACATGAGAACTTCACAGAGGAGGTGAAAGACATCTGTAGACTCTTCTTAGAAAAGAAACCAGAACAACGCTTAGGAAGCAGGTAAACAGATATCAGCATTGTCCACAGCGATGACTTTGGATTTGTGCCAAATTTTGGAATTAAGTATTATTATATTCTTGACATTATTTTCATATAATATTAAATACTTATGATTAAGTATTTCTAATGCTTTCAAACACTAAGTTCTTGATGTTAAAAAAAATCTCCAAAATATAACTTTTTTTTTTTTTTGGTACCGGGGATCAAACTTGGGTCCTTGCACTTGTGCAGCAGGTGATGAAACCACTGAGCTAAATCCCTGGCCCTCCAAAATATAACTTAAAGGGAACAAATGAGATGCAGAACAGCTTTCACTAAAAAAAATAAAAGAAGAAGAAGGAAAAGGCTTGGGATGGTAGAACACTTGCATAGCATGCTCAAGGCCCTGGGTTCCTGCCCTGGTACCAAAAATAAACAAACAAACAAATAAATAGAAAAAAAGAATACATAATTCAAATGATTGTATAGACTATTTCAAAGAGATACAAGGAATTATAGGATTGGTTGTTTCTAATGAAGGGAAATTAGGGGCTAGTAGTTAATGTAAATGAGGATTTTCATTATATACCTTTATCGTTTTATAAATTTTGAGCTATTTGAATGAAGTACCTGTTCAAAAATGAGTAAAATGAAAACTTTAAATAAAAACCTCAATCAGACCTCCAGAAAATTATGCCACTTTTGAAAATCTCCCATAAAATACCATTAATTATTCAACAGATATTTAGTGAGCTGGGTGTGGTGGCACCCACCATAGCCCCAGGTACTTGGGAAGCTGAGGTAGGAGGATTCCTTGAGCCTAGAAGTTCAAGGCCAGCCTGGACAACATAGCAAGACACTATTTCAAAAAACAAAAATAAAAACAAAAAAACACTGGGTGACTGCATTATGCAGGGAGAAAATCAGTGACTTTAGATTTACATAGATTCATGTCCCTAATCTACTATATGCTGGTCATTTTACACCAAGTGAGAGAATCTCTGAGTTTCAGTTTCTTGATATATAAAATAAGGAATTTGTGGGGGTGATGGTGAGTTTATTGTTAACTTGACTAGACCACAGGACCCAGATTTTGGTCCAACATTATTCTAAATGTTTCTGGGCAGGACTTTACATGAGATTAATACTTAAATGAGTAGGCACTGAGTCAGACAGCTGACTTTCCATACATAATGTGGGCAAGCTTCTTCCAGTCACTCAAAGGCTTTAGCAGAGAAATATCAACCTTCCCAGAGGAAATCTCTGGTTCACTTCTGGCTCAGAACACAACTCTTCCCTGGGTCTCCAGTCTGCTGGATCCTGCAGACTGGATTGCCAGTCCAAGTGGATGGGCCAATTCCTTAAATTCTCTCTCTCTCTCTCTCTCTCTCTCTCTCTCTCTCTCTCTCTCTCTCTCTCTCTCTCATATATCTATCTATCTATAGATAGAGAGATAGATAGATAGATAGATAGATATAGATATATGCATATCCCATACACACACACTGCTGGATAGGAAAAACTGCCTCTCCTCTCTTAGGTTCAGTGCTTGGTACAAATTAAACTCAGAAAACAAATTAACATGACAAAAGATAAGTCTTTACCACATGCATAGGCAAGGATTTTTAAAAAACATAAGAGACAGAATTTGGGGTATATATACCATGTTAATAGAGGAAGGGGAGAGGGAGAAAACCACTTATGGGAAAGCAAATGACTTTTAGGAAAGATAAATGAGCACTTAGAAGGATAGGTAGAAGATACGATAGCTTTGTGACAATTTGTTTCCACGTGGCACTGGCCTGTCTCCAGTGATAAGTCATTTTTTCCTGTTTGGGACTCTCCAGGATGAGGATTTGTGTCAATTGAGTTCTTTTGGAAGGCTCTGCTTTTAGGCACATGGGAGAGTTCAGAACCTATGTCTCTTATTCTCAAACTCCTTCAATTCAAACAAATTTTGAAGCTGGGCATGGTGACACACACATGGAATCCCAGCACTCTGGGAGGCTGAGGCAGAAAGATCCCAAGTTTGACCCCAAACTGAGCAACTCAGTGATTTAGCAAGACTCTGTTGAGAGACAGAGACGGAGGCAGGGGCAGAGGCAGAGGGAGACTGAGACTGGGGATGTAGCTTAGTTTAAAGGCTCTGGGTTCAGTCCTCAGTACCATAAAATAATTTAGATTTTACAGTGGCACATCCTGGATCCCTTCTACTTGCTGTTGGCTCTGTCTCTCCACAGAGCCCTGATAATACAGTAGGACACTTTGAGATTCTGATATAATGTAGTTAGTAATTAGTAAGTGATAGTAATTACTTTTCATTTGTTCTAAGGAAGATAGATAATATTCTGATTAAACAATGAGCTTGAATATCTTAAGTTACTTAGATTAAATTTTCAAAATCTAATCAGTACACAAATACATGAGTGAGGAGCTGGCGATTTAGCTCAGTGGCACAGAGCCTGCCTGGCAAGTGCAAGGTCCTGAGTTCAACCTCTGGTACCGCCAAAAAAACCTCACAAAAAAACCAAATACATGAGCTTGGGATGCAGCACAATGGTAGAGCTCTTGCCTAGCATGGGCAAAGCCCTGGGTGGATCCCCACTACCACAAACACATACTACATATTTTAATAATACATAATATATATGTATAATTATACACACACACATATAGGGTCAGGTACTGAGGCACACGCCTGTAATCCCAGCCACTTGGAGGTTGAGGGTAGAGAATTACAAGTTCAAAGCCAGCCTGGGCAACATACCAAGACCCATCTCAAAAAAAAGAAAGCACACATACACACACATGCACACACACAAATATGAAACCTATAACCATAAAGTACTGACTGGTTTTGAATGTAGCACAAGAACACAGGAACCCAAATTACTCTAAATCTTCCAAGTAGGTGATACTGGAAGCTGTAAAACAAGGCTGTCTTAGCTCAGAATGTCCACATATAGAGTAAAGCTTCTAATTTTTGAACTGATTTTTTTTCTTTTTTTTTTTTCAGGCCTCGAGAGCCAACCCAGGGCCTTGCATATGCTAGGCAAGGGCTCTACCCCTGAGATACATCCCCAGCTCCAGCCTGATTTTTTTGTAAATAGCCAAACCAAATTCATCTGTAGTAACTTTCAAAACACAACCAATGACCAAACTAGTATTTTGAAATTAGACAGAATTCTACATTATGTAAAATTAAAATATGGAATTGATTTTATTGTGTAAGTTTCAACATTGCATTGGTGACGTAAAAAATAAGCTGTGTTATGATAACAAGTAAAACCCAAAGTCTCAGCAGCTTGAAACAAAACAGACACAAAGTCTCATTCACCCCAAAGTCAATCCTGGGTTCAGCACTCTCTAGGGCACAGGTCTTCGCAGCAGTGACTAAGAGACCCAGGCTCTTTCCATCTTCCGCTCCATGGGACCTGCGACTTCCAGTCACTGTAACAGGAAGTGGGACAGCAGGGAGAACTTGTGGAGCTTTCTCCTGCCTCAGCAGGGAAGCGCCACACTCCATACATCACTCCACACATGTGTCTATCTCAGGTCTGAGGGTGAAGGAGCTGCTAGCGTCCTCTTTGTGCCCAGGAAGGAGAGGTGACCTGGATATGTTGGCCATTGAAAGTTTCTAACAATCTCTCCAGCTCTGGCTGTGGAGGTCAGGGAATCTCACGGGTCACACAAATAGTGGCCTACAGTCCCGGTGGATTACTTTCCTGAAGTCACACCACCCCTTGGATGCCTCAGTCCACAAGTTTGATTCAAAACCTATCTCAGTCAGTCAGTTGGCTATTTATTTATTTTAACATACTGGGGTTGGGCCTAGGCCTTCTCACTGAGCTACAGCCCATTTTTAATTTTAAGAGTCAGGGTCTTGTTACATTGTCCAAGCTGGGCTCAAACCCATGATCTTCCTGCCTTCCAGAGTGCTGGGGTTACAGACATTCACACCTTGTTCAGCTCTATCTCAGTACTTTAAACGCACACTTTGGTCTTATAAGATGGAATACTAACATTTCAAGAAAATGTCACCTTAAAGCACTGGATCTTTGCCAGAAGCTCCTTCATTAAGTGGAGTCCATGTATAAAGCATCTGTTCTTGTGAATGTTTTGAGTAAAAATGTTTACAACATTACAGAAAAGGCATATAAGAAACAGCTGTTTGCCAGGGATTTAGCTCAGTGGTCCCGTTGCCTGCCTCACAAGCGAAAGGTCCCGAGTTCGATCCCTGGTACCAAAAAAAAGAAACAACTGTTCAGTGGAAGAAAAGGCCTTCTTTTTAAAGACTCGTTCAAATGAGATAATATGTGCTATATGTAGTGGTGTCCTCCAAAGCCAAGACAGATGCCTAGACAGCTATTACATGGTGGAGAGAACAGAGCCCTTCCCTCCTGCATTCACAGGCTTTTGGAAGGCACCAAACCCTCTCCTTCCTTGGCATCACTGAAAAGGATTTTCTTCTTTGCCTTCCTTACTGTGCAAGTTATTCTGGCAGAGAAGTCGAAAGCTTTTCAGAGCATCTCACAGTCTCCAGACAGGGTTAACTATGATGTTTAGTTTCCTTTTATTCTTTTTTTTTTTCTTTTCCTAACTCTCAAAGTAATACCACCAAAATTATTGTGGGATTTGGCAAGGTGAGTGAGACTCCTGGAAATCATATCGTCTTTCAAATGAGGAGATACAAGTGCTATCTTTTAAAAGGTGAATAAAAATTGGGCATGGTAGAGCATGCCTGTAATCCCAGCACTCAGGAGGCTGACACAGCAGGATCATAAGTTCAAGGCCAATTTGGGCTACAGATCGAGACCTTGTCTCAAAAAATCAATCAGCCAATAAAGTGTAAGTGGGCATTGTATAGGAAAAGAAGTGCTCATCTTGATCCACGTGACTGGAAGGTCAATGACTGGAAGCTGCAGTCACTAGTGGCCTCCTTGAACTTCCCTGGTGTCCCTTGAAACACCAAGAATAAATATGTCAAATGCTTGACTCTTTAAAAGTCACATCTACAAGTGAAGGCTATCTGCAAATAATGAAAAATCCTACTGCCTGTGGATAGTGGAATTTTTTAAGCTATTATTTTTCAAAGTTGTTCTTTTTGTTTTTAAAGTGTCTTTGCAATTAAAATCAAATGCATGATGAAAAAAGTTGCTGCACACTTTGTATTGTTAGAACATTTCTTATTCCCAGTTGTTACCTATTTCTGGATGAGCTTCTTTTTCTTCACAGAAAAAACTCTGACGATCCCAGGAAACACCCTTTCTTCAATACCATCAACTTTCCTCGTCTGGAAGCTGGCCTACTTGAACCTCCATTTGTACCAGACCCTTACGTGATTTATGCCAAAGACATTGATGAAATTGAAGATTTCTCTGAGGTGCGGGGGGTGGTTTGATGACACAGATAAGAAATTCTTCAACAGATTTGCAACAGGTGCTGTCCCCATCACGTGACAGGAAGAAATCCTAGAGTCAGGGCTGTTTGAGGAACTGAACGACCCCAACCAGCCAGCAGGTTACGGGAAGGATAATTCATCCAAGTCTGATGGTGTTTGTTATTGTGAATTGTCCCCCTACCAGCCAGAGTCTCAGCTGACATGGTCCCCAATTGTTCCAGCACTGCTGAAGGAGGCTGATTAATTAGAGGGGACATCTCAGCCACAGGATAGCTCAAAGGGCAGGTGGGCAGCCTCATGACTAGTATGTGTTTCCTCTTTATTTTCTTTCTTCCTTTTTTTTCCCATAAAAATTAGTAAAGTTTCAGTTTTCACCAAGGGCTGGGAAAAGGAACAGGCAGGTTTATTTTGATAGACTGAAAGAGTGAGCCCTCCACTATCATGTCTCTGAACTACACAAAGACCTAGGAACAGAGAATGGAACTCTGGTGTACCTGGAAAATGAGCATTTGCAATTCTTAGTAAATAATCATTTTAATTTTTCTTGTTTGTATTTTTCTTCTCTTCATCTTTCGGTATTTCTTCTCCTTCTGTACTTATAAAAGGATTTTGAAGCTAGAAATAAATGTTCCTGATGTTCTCCCCTTAGAAGGAGTGGTTTGTAATACTTTGGTAATATTTCAGATTACAGAATAATTTTCAGTTTCATTGACAGTTTCTTTTTCATTTTAGGGGGAAATGATGTATTATCATATTGCTGAAGCTTTTGTGGGGGGAGCAATACTGGGGATTGAACCCAGGGCCTTTGTACTGGAGTATATCCCCACACTTTTTTATTTTTTATTTTGAAATAGGGTCTCACTAAGTCATTAAATTGTCCAGGCTGGGCTTTAACTTGCAATCCTCCTGCCTAGCCTCCCAGAATTCTGGGATTATAGGTGTGTACCACCACATCCAACTGTTGAAGCACTATAAATATAAATATTCATGAAGTCTATGAATTATCGTAAAGTATTCTGTAAGTTTGGTTGGGTATTTTAAGTAATATGCTATAAATTGCTTATATGTGCAATTACATCTGCCATCAGTTCCTAAACGTTGCTGAAATTTGGAATCACTTAGGGATCTTTTAAAAATATTAATGCCTAGGGCCAGGGATTTAGCTCAGTGGTTCTGGCACCTGCCTCACAAGGGCAAGGTCCCAAGTTCAATCCCCGGTACCAAAACACAAAACAAAGCAAAAAATATTAATGCCTGACTCCTACCTCCATATGTTCTGATCCATAACCCACATATGGGGTAAATTGGTCATTTAGATTTCTGAAGCTCCCCAGGTGATTCTAATGTATAGCAAAATTTAGTAGGTACTGCCCCATATATTTACATGTTATTACATATGGGTCTTGTGTTAGTCAACTTTGCAGTACTGTAGTAAAATACTTGAGATAATCAGCTTAAGAAGAGAACGTGCTACCCATGTTCACAGTAGCATGGTTTATAAGAGCTAAATCTTGGAAACAACCCAAACACCCATCAACTGACAAATGGATAAAGATGTAGGTTTTTTATACAATGGAGTACTACTCTGCCACAAAAAAAGATGAGTTTCAGACATTTGTAGCTACATGGATGGACCTTGAGGCCATACTCTTAAGTGAAATAAATTGGACACATGTTTAAATACTGCATTGTTTTTCTGGTGTGAACCAAAAATGGAAATAAGGACTAAAATGTATAATAGATATTGGGAAATGGGAAGAAAATGTTCAAAAGGGAAAAGGAACAAGGGAGGAATATGAGAAAAAGAAAGGAAGGGACAAAAAGAAAATAGAAGGAAAAAATGGAAACAAACCTTTCGTACGTAAGGAGGGGAGGGGCTTGAGGGGTGGGGATGTGGGACAAAAGAGGTGAGATGTATCATGTACAGGTGCAAATTCTCTATGATGAACGTATGCCTAAAATTATGTATGCCTAAAATGTACCAATAAATGTTTTGCTATCAAAAAATAAATACATAGAAAATTTTTTAAAAGAGAGAGAAAAGAGAAAGTGCTTATTTTGGCTCACAGTTTTGGAGGTTTCCATCTATGGCTGATTGGCTCCATTGTTTCTGAGCTTGGAGTGAGGCAGTACATGCAGTGGGATTCCATGGCAGAGGAAGCTCCTTACGTCATGGCCACTGGGAAGCAAAAAGAGAGGAAGAGAAGGGGCCTGGGTCTCACTATCCCTTCCAGGGCACACCCCCAGTGACCTCATTTTCTTTCTCTAGGCCCCGCCTCCTAAATGTTCCACCATCTCCCAATATTGCCACAACCTGAAGACCAAGCTTTCAATATACTGGCCCTTATCCATGCCATAGCAGCTCCTTATTTTGGTTGCTCAAAACTTCAACTGAACATTTTGATAGTGATTTTTCAAATATTAAAAGAATATGTAATTTTGGCAATTGCAATATAAATGAAACTAAAGAGAATCTGTATTTACCTTAGAGAGTTTCTTGTCCTTGCCTCTTTTAGTTCTTCACACATATCATAGAAAGCAGATCTCATGGCTAGTTTGAGGCCTGAGGAGGAACATGGAATTGAACAAATGGTGGTCCTCACTTCAGGTGCCCAGCCAGCACTGTATTGTAGACTTAGCACTTCTCAAAAACACAGTGAGTGAGAGTTATAAGGCTGAAAAAATAGAACATAAATGTAAATCTGGATAATATTTTTAAATATATATATATATAGCCATTTCATTCTTGATAAAGGAGCCAAAGATACACATTTATGAAAAGGTAGCCTCATCCACAAGTGGTGCTAGGAAAACTGGATATCCATGTGTAGAAGATTGAAACTAGATCCCTATCTCTAGTCCTATACAAAAATCAATTTAAAATGGATCAAAGACCTAAGTATAAGACCTGAAACTGTGGAACTGCTAGGGGAAAACTCTGGAAGCCATAGACCCAGGCAAAGACTTCCTGAATAGGACTCCAATAGCACAGGAAATAATAGCAATAATCAACAAATAGGACTGCATCAAATTAAAAAGTTTCTGCAAAACATGGAAAACAACTAACAGAGTGAAGAGACAAACTACAGGAAGGTAGAAAATCTATGTTAGCTACTCTTCCAACAGAGGGTTAATATCAAGAATATATAAAGAAATCAAAAAATTTAACACCAAAAAATTAAATAGTCCAATCAATAAATGGGCAAAAGAATACAAAAAACAATAAATGCTGGCAAACACTCTACATTGCTGGTGGGAATATGAGTTGGTATAGCTCCTATGGGAATCAGTATAGAGGTTTTTCAAAAAGCTAAAAGTAGAACCACCGTTTGATTCAGCTGTACCACTCCTTGGTATATAGCCACAGAATTAAAGTCAATATACTACAGGGATACTTACATTCCAGTGTTTACTGTGGCACAATTCACAATAGCCAGGATATGGAACTAGCCTCATGCCCATCTACAGATAAATAGCTAAAGAAAATGTGAGATATATATATATATATATATATATATATATATATATATATATACATTCATCCATAAAGACGAACAAAATTTTGCCATTTGCAGGAAAATGAATGGAACTGGAGATCATATTAAGCAAAATAAGCCAGCCTCAAAAAAACAAATATTGCATGTTCTCCCTAACTGTGAAATCTGAAAAAGATGACATGACACTAGAAGAGAGACTATTTTAAGACAAGAGGAAGGGAATGATGGGGATAGAGGTATGATCAAAATAATTATATGCACTGAAACCTAATATTTTGTAAAATTAATAGGCACTAACAACAATAATAACAAAAATGTGTAATAAGGAAATTTCATTCATCCCAGGGGTGAAACACTTGGTTGAAGTCAGTTTTAAAGTTTTATCTTTTGAATGTGGGAATCCAAACCTATAAAATACAGGCCAAAAAAATATAGGCTAAGTGGAATCCAGCTAACAATAATCCTCAACTACAAGTCAGTGCTGACCATTTCCAGAGCAAGTAAGAAGAAAGCCCTGTCCATGGAGTCCTGGCTCTCCACACAGGCCTATGCTTCACCTCCTCTTCTTCCTCCTCCTCCTCCTCAGATCTCAGCAGCCTCCCGGTCCAGAGCCTGACCCGGATATGCTGCAGAGCCCTGGGTCATGAGCAGTGTATAGGTGCGTCCAGCAGATTCTTTCTAAGGCAAGAAAGTAGATTAAAAATTGATAAAATTTCCAACAAGTATTTAACAACAAAAAATGGATAAACAGTTAACAGAAATCCAATTATACAGAGCAATCCAATAGTAGAGTTCTTGATATTTGGCTTTACAAACATTAATTGTTTTAAAATTGCCAACTATGTTTTATTAAAGCTGAGCAGTTTTATTTACTACTACACACCAATAACTAAAGACAACTCAATTAAAAAATGGACAAAGGATTTGATGTGACACAAAACAATAATAAAATAAATAAAATAATATCTTGCTGTAGTGGTTCCTTAATGTGAATTTTTACTTTTGCCAAACTAAGTACAAATCTTTCATTTCTTAACACTAACTCAGAAAAATAATTGAATAAGTAGTAAATAAGAATGTGAATAGTGAATAACAATCACCAAGTAAGTTTTGGTCAAGATCTAATTATACATTGAGCCCTTATCATGTATAGTGTTGGAGTTACCATAAAGAAATAAGAACCTGGCTGGGGATTTAGCTCAGTGGTTTTGCCACCCGCTGCGCAAGCAAGCGCAAGGACCCAAGTTCCATCCCCGGTACCAAAAAAAAAAGATATCTAGACTTGAAACAGCCACTTCGTGCAATAAAGAGCTTTTAGGGCCCAGGATTTAGATCAGTGGTTTCGCTGCCTGCTGCGCAAGCACAAGGACTCAAGTTCAATTCCCGGTACCAAAGAAAAAAGAAAAAAAGAAATAAGAACTATCCAAGAAAGTTATGGGGTAGAATATAGAGTGTAGAACTAGTTGGTGTTACTCAGATTTTACATGAGGAAACTGAGGTTCATGGAGGCTTTGTAACATGTCCAAGACACAGAATTTTTCAGGGTTGTTGTAAAGACCGAAAATGTACCAGTACTCTGCCGAGGCAGGATAATTGCAAGTTTGAGAACAGCCTGGGCAATTTAACAAGACCCTGTCTCAAACATTTTTTAAAAGGGTTGGGGTTGTTAGCTCAGTGCAAAGGCCTTGTGTTCAATCCCCTG